GCTACATGAGTTTTAAAATATCGGCAAATCGGATATCGGCCAAAATCCCAATATCGTGCATCCCTATCTGGAACAACCAGCTTTACTCTGATAATAAAAGCGTAATACACTTTAACCAGCTCTGATTAAACTCCAGTTTAAACATGACTCCTTTTTAATAAGAATATTAAATAAGTTAGATCAATTAATTTGGCAATGTGCTTCACCTTTGGTTTTCTTTTGCTTTACTAAAACTACTTCACATTGTGTAAAATATACAGCAGTTGAAAAAAAAGGTGATTTATCTGCTTGATTATTCAGAACTTAAGTGCATATGCATAATGTCGGTTAAGTGGCTGTTTTCTCAGTAGAGCTACTACAAAAAGAAAACAAGCAGTTGGAAACTTAGGGCTATGTTCCCTGTGAGGAGAGATGGAGAGAACAATGACAGTTTTCACTTCCTCTTGCACTGACATCCTTCATGTTTCTGAACTTATATTCAGATCTGAATATAGAGTGAAAATGCAGAACTGCACAACAATTATAAACAGAACAATCTGATAAATACTCATGCAACCAGTATCTACTACTTGTCAAGCATGTTTGCACCACTTTATCCAGTAAGTCTTGACAAAAAGCCTTTAAGATTCAGCTAGTCAATGCAAAACAGACATCTGCTCTACACACCAGTAACTCTGTCTTACCAGGATGAGATCTCAATACGTACTTCGGTGACTTAAGCGTGTTTTTTAGAGAGCTGGATTGACTGCAGAGCAAAGTAGAAAAACTGAAAAAAGATAGCGCCTCAGGACATAAAAATCAGCAAACTGAACTGACAAGAAACAAATCAAGATTTCTTATCTTTTTTTGCAAAGTTTTTTAAAATACTTTAATACACAAGAACCTACATTTTTCAGCAAGTTTATATATCTTAACACAACATCCCCTGTTTGCATATGAGTCACAGACCAAGTACACAGTGACTAAAATGGTCCCTGACAACACAAAAAACTAAACCTTTACTTCATCCATTTGAAAAGATGAATTTAGTTTACATAAATAAATGCGGATCTAAAAATTGAGATTTTAAATGTTTCTTTTATAAGTAAGCTGTCAACGTTAGAAGATTTAAAAAAAACAACCTATCAGTTTTATGTGGTTATTGTGTAAGCACATCAAGTCTCAGGCTGAAGAAGGTTACACCCAGATGGAAATAAACACATATGAAGATAAAACCCTTTTTATCACTTCATTGTATAACACATGGCAGCTTTATCTTCACAAAATAATGGTGTGGTTTACTAAGCTTAACAAACATTATTTTCTCATTTTCTTAAAATTACTCCTGTCTCTCAGTTGAAGCAAATGTGTAAGATTTTGTTTTTATTGCATCTCTTATAAAGAATCTGTGTTTTGTCAAAGAAAAAAAAGAAAAACCAATTCCCTCCCACAATATAAAGTAACTGAATTCAATAAATATTATAATATTCTGGGTTTTATCTACAAAGAAGAGCAGCTCTGTGTGTTTACCGTTACCAGGAGGTAAAACCTTTACCCAGTAGAGATGTAACTCACCTTTTCAAATGTAATAATCCTCAATTCATCAGTTAGTTTCAATATAAAAGCCGCATGGACATTTGCTCCCCTCTGAATTATCGCTCTCTCAAGAAAAAAGCTTAACAAGCCAAAGATGACGGCCACATGCACGTAGATCTGGGTGTGCTGATGTGGATTGCATTTGGGCTCTCTGACTGTTTCTTCCTGCTTTATGCGGAAGTTCAGGTCCAGACCTGTTACTGCATTCCTACTGAGAGCTGAAAACTTTCACAATCCTCTTGTTTAGATCAGTGCTGGACTGATCCGCCCCGCCCCTCTTCACCAGTACTCGTTATCTGGAACTGTCATCACAAAACTTTCTGAAAAACTGAGTTTGCTTTGGGTAGCAGAAAAGATGGTGTCTGAAAAATGCTGAAGTAGTTGAAAGAAATTTTCTGAAGGAGAGCAAAGCTGAATCAGCCATCTTGGTTAATAATTGACCACAGTGAAGCTGATTTACAGCAGGTCTTCGGTCAGGAGTGGTAACTCTGAGCTGTCTTTGAGTCTGACTCTGAATAAATTCATGTACTCAATGTATCTCCTTAAATCAACGTATGATATATGTTATACCATATACTGATGTCTGTGATGCCTTTCAAAATAACAACAGAGTAATACATAACAACAAAGTACAGGGAAAAAATAGCTGAAAACAGGGGTCCTCCACTTTTATAGAACCACAGCATTTACATGATCACAGCTGCAGGTCTTTTAGGCTGTATCTCTACCAGCTTTGCACGTTTGAAGTACAAATTTTAGCCCATTTTTCTTGACAGAATAGCACAAGTTCATTAAGTAAACTGCATATGCAAACGCCAGTTTTTAGGTCTTCAAGTTATAGAGTCTTTATAAGATTTATTTATATGGTGGCTACACCATTCAGAAGCTGAATGCATTTTGGACCAATGTGTTGAAACAATTTCTGGTAGCTCTGGCTGTTTGTTTAGAATAAGTTTCTACCCATATATCAAATCTTTTGCAGCTTCTTGGGGGTGTTCTTCCTGGATCAACCCCAAAGTTAACCATTACAGTACCACTCCATGATGCTATGTCCCACTGTGAGAATGGGGTTTTCAGAGTGATGTGCAGTTTGCATTTAGTAATTTTGCATTTAATAATTTTGTCCTTACTTTGCCGGCAATATATTCATAACATATTTATGAACAGTTGTTCTGGAATTGCTTATCTTCAGGGGAACCTGAAAGATTCTAACCGTCACTCCATGAATACGCTCTGGCTGTTATCTCTTTCGTGCAGATGCCGGATTTCTTCTTGTGTCAACCTGAGAGGCGCTATCAAACAGTATTTCACTTCTGTTTTTGAAGTATATATACACACTTTTATGCAAAGGTATTGACTAAGAGACACGTTTTCCCCACAGCTTCCTATGTTCTTCAAAAAAGAGTTTGTCCCTGAGTTATGTCACTATTATTAGCTTACTTGAATAGATTTTTTTTTCTCAGCTCTAATGAGAAAAACAGACCACCCTCTCTGTGGCAGAAATCTGTCATAATGGGGAGACGTTGAGCACCACACAGGGAAAATGACTAACCTCAAATGCCTTCAAGAACCTTTCAAGATGTGTGATGAATTTAGGAAACACCATGGGTGCAGGCGCTTGTCCTAACCACGCTCATTTCCTCTTTGAGGTTGACAAACAGATGGACACCCAAGGCATGCATCCAAAGCACGGATCATGCTGATGCCTTGGAGAGCATTTGCCAAATAAATACTCTGATGAACGGCTGTGGAGTTCAACAGCAGGGAGTGAGGTGATTTGTTTGTTTTGTCTTTGCAACCTCATTTCTGACAAGGAGGGTGGTCCAGCAGTGTTGTTTCTGATAGATGTGATTTACATCTGCTTATCACATTACAGTTTTCTAGTTCTTTATTTAAAATATGTGTTTTCTAAGTCCTTTAAATCTAAATTTGCTTCGGTAATCAGCTGAATATGGTCTGAGGCTAATCACTCTGAAAACTTTTAATGTGGCCTTTGATGTTAGACCAATCAGGATCAGATCAAACACCATTAGACCTGGTTGGTTCCCGTTCGGCAGTCCATCGGATGGATCCTGCCTTCCAGGCAGAGAATGGACTGAACTGTTAAGCCAGGTAAGTGACTGACTCTGCTAAACATCTCCTGTCAGATGATCATGGTCCTTTACCTGTGTTTCTTCCTCCAGAGATTGTCAGTGATTGGGCGGTGCCTTTCCCCGTAGTTGCTGCAGGTCCACAGATCCACAACAGC